TCTGTGTTGTCGGCAGTGTCCTCTGCGGTGTCTTCCGCATCGTCTCCTGCCTTGTGTGTGGCGTCGTCGCCTGTCTCCTCAGCCTCCTCGTCGGCGTCGTTGTCGTCGTCAATGGGCTTGGGGTCGGCCTGCTCTAGTTCGTCACCAGCTTGTGAAACCTTGCCGGTGATGTCTTCAGCAGCCTCTTCCGCCTTGCCCTTGGCATCTTGGGCGGTTTCCTCGCCCTTTTGCTTGGTGTCTTCGGCGGTGTCTTGTGCCTGGTTCTTGGTGTCCTCAGCCTTCTCCTCTCCTTGCTTCTTCACGTCCTCAGCTTGCTCAGGCACATCGGGGGTGGGGGCGTCCTCCGACTTGGGCTTGTTCAGCTTGGGGGCAGATGATTGTGGCTTTCGTCCGAGCTTGGTAGGGGTGCGGGGGGTGTCACCCTTTCCAGCTGCTGGGGAAGGCATGTTGTTGAATAGAACGCTCGAGACGTTGTAGGAGTTGTCGTGTCCGTGATTCACTGTGTAGGATGAGGTGCTGTAGGAAGTAGCTCGATGATGGCCGCTTCCTGATACGTTGCTTGATATAGACTGAGAGCGTGTAGACCGGGGGGAATGTCTATTAGGGGTTGGGGGGAAAGAGTAGTACGAGTAGTTGTGGGAGGAAAAGTGTTCGTCTGTCATATATCAATTGACGAATGGTTCGTCTTTGTAGGGATCAGAAAGTGCGGAAGGATCACAGAGAAGCAGGCATTTATGATAACTACTCCTCAATTGAGCATGCTGGAACGGATGACGTCGAATGCTGGTTTCCAGGAGCAAGAGCTTGCGCCTCAGTTGTGGAGAGGCAGAGTAAACCTGCTTTGGCGCCATAGTGTGTGCAACGAACAGGAGGAGTATTGCGTCACACTACTCACAAGCTCCAGCCTCGAGCGGGGCGTCAGCGCATCCTGGTGGCATGGCCTCCACTCAGCGTGGTGAGACAAGCGGGTAGCTGCTGCAACAGGGGTGGGAACGGCCTGTGGCTGGAAATGGGATGGCCTAACATCGTCGATGAACCGCGGAGAGCGGGCTGCTGCCAGGGTTGCAGTTGAATTGCAGCCGGAAGTGGAGCTGAAACGCTCTAGCGAAAAGGCTGCCTACGGTACTCTTCGCACTGGACAAGGTTAGTTTGCAGGAAGGATACCAATGGCATGCAGGAAGTGAGGTTGGGGAGACATGTGTCATCTCAGGCAGGCCAATACCGCGCTGTCGATACGCCTTCGCAGGCATGAGTGCAGTGCGAAACGAGCTGGTGGAGCAAAAGCACACAGAGCCCAGGCCCGATCGACGGCACTGTGGCTGGCCTTGACGAGCATCGGGTACGGAATCCCTGGCGGCAGTGTTTCCCTCCTATCATTAGGGCGCATGCAGCAGGATGGAAGAGCAAGTCGTGCCGTGTGTGCAAGCAGGTTGCAGCGACGCGTATGATGTTGTCGGGCGCCTGACGTCATGGTGTCGGGAGCTCCCCTGCTCAAACGTCGCTTAGCGGGGTCGTAGCTTCCTTTTGGCGGCCGATCGCTGCATGCTACCAGTCTTCGGTACCACCATCGTGAGCACCACCAGCCATCACCGCGACATGCAAGACGGCATGGGAGATGAGGGACCCTGCGGCGGGCGGAGATCAGGAACGACGGAATTCGGAAGAGTGATGCCGAATAGCTTCATGTCCGAAGAGGCCTGCGCTGTGGTCATGGTGAAGTTGGACTGTGCCGCGATGAACGGCGGGGCTCCAGCGCAACGGTCGGGACGTTGGCCGCATCCCAACTGCGAGTGACACCACGCACCGCTAAGAGGCTGCAGCAAACCCAATCGTTATATTCCCGTGGTACCTACCTCCGGGCAATTCATTGACCCTGACTTGCAGCTGTTAGCTGTCTACTGTATGCGCAACGTGGTTTCGATCACGACAAGCCGTCTCGATCGAGACATGTCCGTCGTACCCATAATTATCCTCGCGCCACAACTGCACAAGCAATTCTGCGCAGACGCACGATCGATCACTTCATCTCAGGTACCCCTATCCTGCCCGCTGCCGAGTCATGCCCAAATAACAGGTTGTCAAACAAAGACACATTTCCCAACCCCCAAAACAAAGATGGAAATCTGGGTCCGTGACGACGCGTATGATGTCAGTCGCCGCCGTTCGTAAAAATGATGGCGGCACGGAACGGGGTCCGCACGCTTGGAAAATAATTGTCCGCCACCGAGTCAAGCCATTACCTGCTTTCTGGTTCCTGGATTCTGCGTTTTCGATAGACGGACGTTGATCGCGCGATGATCGTGCAATGACACGCGCGAATAATGCCACATGCATGCTATCTTTAGGAATGCTATTCGTTCTACGACTTCAGGTCTACTGATGGTTCTAGGCAAATCGACAAGAGAGGATATAATGACCACGCGAAATCAAGCCACAGGTAGAAGGCACGGAGGTGAGTATGGGGTCATGCAGGAACAGCAGCAGCCCGCTTCGTAGCTCGCATCGCAGCCAGCCGCTCACATCGCGGGGGCAGACTCCCGACGTCCGTCAGGCGCAATCCCATCTTCGACATCTTCCCCCGACTTACTCAACCACTTCTTCCTCTTCTGCTTAGCGGCCTCCCGTTCTTTGGGTGTCAGGTCGCCGTTCTCACCGCGGTCTCGACTGAGCCTCTTCCATATTCGCCGTCCAAGACTAGTCTGTTTCTTCTCTGCCTCTTTCCGCTCTGCTTCCTGCGCAAGTAACTGCCGCTCTCGTTGCGCGCTTTCGCTCTTATCCTTTTGCTCTTCCACCTTCCGTTCGTATTCTTCCGGGTGCACGACCTTTGTCTCGGCCTCCTTGACGTGCTCAACCCCGTGCTTGAACTTCTTGCGTGTCTTAACGTAAGCTTCAAGGCCGACGAGGACAGCATACGACCGGGAGATGGAGACACGCGACATGTCCACTCCGTTCTCCTTCATGGAATGTACGAACGCACGGAAGTTCTTCGTCGGCGGGCGGTAGTGGCCGGACAGGGGTGAGAGGCGCCGAAGCTGACCATCCTTGACTCTGATCAGACCTGCGGCAGATATGCGCGCACCGTGAAGGAACGAGCTGTGCTGGAAAGCACCCGATTGCTTGATCCCGACGTACAGGCGGAAGGATGTGTCGGCTACCTGTGCTTGCTTAGTACATCTGGCCGACGGAGGAGAGTGCACATCTTACGAATATCCATGAGTTCGGCTTCACTGAACTACGGAGAAGGTGGTTCAGAATAGTCGCGGCTGACACATGTTTGAGTTTCGAAACGCCCTTAGCTTTGTCGAGGTCCTCATTGACGTAGTGTTCTGCCTCCTCTGCCTCCGCATCGCTCTGAGATGTAGACGAGCTTGAGCTCACCGAGATCATTGAACTTCGTCGCAGGGTCTTGCTTTGTCCAGAGTGCAGCTTTGCTTTGGGACCGTAGGCAGGAGTGTCATCGTCGACCGGTACAATACCGTTGACACTATCTTTGTACTCCGTGGTCGTGTTTAGGCGCTCTCCGTTCTTCGCCCAGCATAGACGACCTTCGTCGTCGATGGTGACTAGGTAGTTTTGACGCTCCTCCCGCGACAGGTAGCGCACGCGCTCTGTGTCGAGCCTCTCTCTAGAGACGGTCGGATGCTCAAAGTGCCTACCCTCGCCATGGTCGAGCCAGTAGAAGAAGTTCTCGTGAGTGTCTGCCTTCTTCCACTGCTCGTGGTAGGCTCTCAGGTTACTGCCGTAGCGGTGCTTCTGGTCCACCATCTCCAGGAAGTACTGGAGGTCCATCATCTTGGCAGTCTTCTCGCGCTCCGCCTTGGACTCGTTCTGCTTCCGCCGCTGTTCCGTGTGGTTCTCGGGTGCATCCTCGCCGTCCGTCTCTGAGGCATCGTGGGGGTCGTCGGCGCCCGCTCGTCGCGCAATCTCGCCGACTCGTTTCCACTTCTCGCGCGCTGCTATGGAGTTCGCTCGTTCACGTGCTTCGGGAGTAGTGAGGTTGTCGCGCAGAGCCGCGTCTTCCGAGCGCGGCTTGGGCTTCGTCGCATTGCGCCATTTCGCTTGAGAGGTTTAGCTTGGGCGCAGTAGAGATCATGGTGGACTGCTAACCGTCGCGTATCGCCTATTATCATTAGCCACACATCTCCCAGGTAGTGCGAACGTCTCCGACCTCTGCCCACCGTGCGCTAGCATCGAGGCCCATGCCTTGAAGCTGCCTGCGCTCCCGATAGCCGCGATAGTTGCGCTGGATCATCTGCGCGGCTTGCGCTTGCTCTTGATCGTCTGTCCCCATGTGCGACTTGCGAGCCGCAACATCTTGGGCGCTGACCATTCTGGCTCCGTAGACATATATGTGGCGCAGGACATTGAATCAGGCAGAGGGTGGTGGGTAGGTGAGGCTTGACAGCTGGATTTCGGTGGGGCTAGTGAGGAGACATCCCTGCTGTTCGGCTTTTCGGCAGTGGCCGCGTCATCGCGCATCGCGCAGTAAGGAAAGAACACCATCTTTTACCAACGGCTATAGCAACGGAGAGTATCGCTTGGAGTCATCTGCGGGCATTTCATTGTCACCACTTCGTAACAAATCTCCCGTGACTTCAACGCTCTCGCGTGACGCCCCCGGTTGAGTAGAGCATGGGTTATCTACAAGCCCTTATATTGCTCCACAGCATGGCGGGCACTGATTTGTATAGACTGAAGACATGAACACAGCTTCGAGTACATCAAGAGATCTTGTCTGACCTCCAGGACGCTCAACTCAATCTCTTTATTCCCAAGCTCGATTTACGGTCCCAACTCCTAACTTGACGATTCGATAAGTCGTGTCTACCAGGTAGGTTAGCTCATCTGCGCCACAGCTGGGATATCACTCCCGATCCATGGAGGGCTGCGAAGGGCCTCTTCCGTCATCATGTTGATCCCAGCCCCTATTAACTTCCAACGCCGACCCTTCGAACTTTAGACTCTCCTCACATTCATCTCTCACGATTTAATCAATCACCATGACCGAAACATCAGCCTTGAAGCGCGCAGCTTCCGAAGAGCCCGACGTATCGAGCGAGCCATCTAATGGCGTGAAGAAAGCCAAGAAAGTCGGCACTATGGACCCAACAACATCGACAGCGGAGCTAGAGAGTATTGGAGCTACGGAAGCAGCCCCAGCTCGCGATGAACCAAATGACGATGTTGCATTGCAGCAGAAAGATGCGACATCCAAAGACCTCAATGAGAAGAGCGGCACCGAAGTGCAGCAACCCAAGACAATCGCTCCAGTGCCCGAACCCACCAAAGCAGAAGACGAGGACGAGGACGAGGACGACGAGAGCGAAATCGAGAAATCAGTTTCGCCGGACGGTAGCGATGAGGACTACGATTCCGAAGAAGACGGCGATGACGAACCCTACGGTTACGGTCTTGAACGTGATCCCGACCAAGGCGGTTTGGCGATGCCACCCGGTCTTGAACGTGATCCCGACCAAGGCGGTTTGGCGATGCCACCCGGTCTTGAACGTGATCCCGACCAAGGCGGTTTGGCGATGCCACCCGGCCTTGACGAGGAATATGATGAGTTGGCGAATGATTATTGAAGTTCGAAGGAAGATGATGAGTTTGATGAGTACGTGGAAAAGCGTGACAAGGAAGCCATTTGAGGATATGGCTTTAACAAGCGACTCGGATGACAGCGAGGAAGCAGCTGCCCGGAAACGAGCAGGACTGGAGACTGATATGGGTGACTTTTGAAGTCTTCATGTGTACTTCAGGCCCGCGTGCTTTCGCAAGACATTACCATGGTTATTCGTATGTATCAATATGTTGACATCTTATTCTCAGTCATGCATTACTGCCCTCAACTACTTGAAATGTAAGTATTTTGTACTTTCTCTCTTAATTCATCTCTGTGTACCTAATGTGATGTGATGGTTCATCTGCGTTGTCGCAGTACATTCAGTGCATGTTCCAAAGAGGCAATTACGACGCGGAGAATTGTTCCGTTACACACCATGTCGACACTTGATGCCTTTGTTCCCATCGGGAAAGAGCCGCTGTCAGAGTCGTCCGATCTCATTGTTTGCACCTGCACTTTCCTTCCACACGCGATCCCGCGACGTCATCGTCACAGATAAAGCACGCAAACACAAACAACCACCTCACCTTCTTCTCCACAGCTTCAAGCCACCGCTTCTTCTACTCAAGCATCACCTACAGCCCTACCTCTATCAGTCACCATGAGCGACATTCTCAGCGAGAAGGTGTCCTCTGACGCGAGCAGCGATGCTACCACCCTTTCGCAGCGATTCCAAGACCAATTGGAAGCCATCCTCAAGAAGCTGCGAAAAGACCCGAGCACCATCACAGCCGAGGAAGCCCGTATTCTATCTGAGAACGTCGCTACACGTGACGACAGAGCGGTCCGCATTATCTCTGCCGTCGAATCCCTAGCTATTGCTAACAAGGTGTGGATTAGAAGGGATCCAGTCAAGCTCAGGCTTCTCATCGTTCCCTGCTGATGGCCGCCAAGGACCTGCATATCGCTGTAGATGGCAGCCCTGACGAGGCGACCACCGAGGTTCTTCGTGTTGCCCAGAGCATCGTTAGCAGTACGTGTCTACTTCCACATGCCATCCCGCTTGATCCTTCGCTCCACATCAAGACAAACACTGACGATCTATAGAACTGCAAAAGGCCGTCGGCCATACCAATGCTCCTCATCCTGAAGTCGAAGCCGAGCTCCAGGAGGAAATCGCTAAGATCGAACCCAAGATTGCGCAAGGCACCGTCACCAAGGCTGAAGCCGATCATCTCCATTCGCTCGAGGCCCGCGCCCACGGTCATACCGAGAAGGGTGGCATCGCCGCTGTCGCTCAGTCTGTTGCAGCCAGACGTGAGCGTCAACTATCACTGAGCAGTAGCACTGGCTCTATCTTGAGTCCTGTCAACGGAAGATCTCGTGCCAACAGTAGGAACTTCACATCACCTCAGCAACGGTCTCGTCAAGAGAAGGAAGATGACTCCCATAATGCGGAGATGACTATGAGGCCTAAGATCGAGGCGGGCTTTGCCGCCGCATCGGGGATGGATGATCCACAGACTCTCGATGCTCGTGCCAACCGCGGCACTGAGGAACATGTATGCTTGGGGCTCTGTGAATCGCACGCCAGCAACGGAAGTGCTCGCGCCAGCGATGAACGTCCCCGCGCCAGTAGCGAGAGCATCAACTCCCGTGACACACTGTCTGGCTCCAAACATCACGGCGATCTACAAGACGGTAATTCTGCTGTCTCGCCCAAGGGAGAGAACGGCTTCTCTACTCAACCAAACCCCAAAACAGTCCAGCCGCAAGAGATGCCGACCAACGGCCACCCCGAGAAGAGCGGACTCAGCCCCACTGCGCAGTCCTTCGTTTCCCGTAGACAAGAGTCTCTCAGCGATGTTTCCAACTCCTCCGCGACTAAGCACCGCAAAGAGCAGTCACAGCCCGACAAGGACCTTAACAAGGTTGATGAGGAGCTTGAGGATAACGAGCACGAAACCCACACGAAGAGGCTCGTGCGGGACGGTCATGGTCGAGTGGACGAGAACGGAAAGTTGCTGGCCGAGCCAAGCTATGACGCGGACGATCGATGAGGCAGTGAGACATGGGGGTGACATGATAGGAGTGTCCGTGAATGTCGGGGATGTATCTAAGATGGTAGAGGTACAGGTGATATTCGAGATTCACTATAACCGGACATGGGCAGGTGGCATAGAGGTCATGAACCTATACATAGATGACCCGTCCGCTGGACACCCTAATGAACCACACTTTACCCTCTCAATATAAAGAGTAACATCGCACTGCATTCTAAACTGGACACCTCCCGCGAAAATCATGTCCCAACACTTGACCACCTCGTGTGAACCCAGCAGAAGTAAGGTCTATGGTATCAATTCCTACATGCCTACTCAAAAAGCCATCCCCATCCCAACCCAACCCGAGCCGCTAAATGCATGACAAGGTTCCCTCCAATGTACTCTTTATCCCTTCACTTGATCTCCGTCTTCGCCATCATATCCGCCAAATCATCAACCTTCTTATCCTTCTCCTGACCCACATTACTCTCCTCCGCCTCGTTATCCGCCGCGACCTGCCTCGCAGCCTTCTCCTCAACCTCGACACCCTCTTCGTCATCATCAGCATCCCCACGCTTCTCCTCTGCATCACTCTCCTCCTCGTCTTCGTCGTCATCATCCAACTCGTCCAGTTCGTCGAGACCCCAGTATTCTTCGTCGTCCGCATTCTCACCACTCTCTTCTTTCCGTGCATCGAGGACATCGCGCAGTTTCTCGATACTGGGGTCCTCCTCGTCGAACTTGTTACCGTTGATCTCGACGCGACGCAGCGCAGGGAGTGCGGTGTGAGAAGCGGAAGCGAGGCCAGCGAGACCTTTAGCGTTGATGTCGTTGAATTGGAGGCGCAGGATCTCAACCTTCTTATTGTTGCCCTTCTCCAGTGCTGCAGCGAGAGCGACGCCGCCCCGACCGCTGAGCAGACAGTCGCCTACGCCGAGTTCGCGGAGCTCAGTCCAGTTGCCGACGGCGCTGCTGAGGGCCTTTGCGCCCATGGCTGTGAAGGTGTTGTCTTGGAGGTCGAGGGTGTCTAGTTTGGAGAGGTGGGCGAGGCCGTTGGTGATGAGGTGCGAGATACCTTCTTGGCGGATACCGTTCTGCGTCATCTTGATGGTCTTGACGCCCGTGTTGGCCGCGTAGGCTTTTGCCCATGCGCCCATGCTGCCGTTCTCCAGGCGGTTGCGTCCGCAGATTACGAGTTCGAGGTCGGGGACTTCTTTGCCGTCTTTGCGCGCCGCGGCCTTCTTGGCGGCGAGTGCGGTGAGCGCATCTGCGACGAGGACACCGGCTGCGGGTCCGAGACCGTTGTTGTTGAGGTATAGGTAGCGGAGTGGGGTGTGTTGCGACAGGAAGTCTACGAGCGGGGCAACCGTGTTGAGACCGAACGCGTTGTCCGAGAGATCGACAGTGTGGAGGTTTGGTAGTGTGAGGAGTGAGGTGAGGAGGTGGGATAGCGCGGGCGGGATCTCAGAGAGGAGACGCGAGGTGAAGATGTCGGCGAGGTTTGCGACCTGGAATTCATGTCAGTCAGTCCGTCGTTGACATCGCAGCGCCGATGAGCGGGGCTGTAAACATACCTGGAGGTTCTTCTTGCTCTCCAAGACCTTAGCAAGCGCCTCGCTGGCTCCAATACCCAGAGTGTTGCCCAAGAACTTGATCTCCTCTACATCGTCGTTGCTCTTGAGGTCCTGGATGTGCGGCTCAATATCCTCGGCGGTGGTGAGTTTGAGGCCCTTGCCCTCGATAGAAAAGATCTTTGCGCCAGCCATGTTTTCGCACGCCCCGTTGCAAGTTACAGAGAGGATATAGTAGCGGAAAGCAGTACAACAGGGGGGCGGGTTTGTTGTTTATACTTTATAGTGTGAGTCGTGGGGCGCAAAACGTAGTGGGGTTGATTGAGATTCATTGTCTAGAACCCCCTGTCGCCTGCAGGGTTGGTTTTAGCCGAACCGTGCAAGCCCTCCAGGCTCGTGTGGCGTATGGAGCGCCGCGGGAGTCCGATGACATGTCCTGGGAACTTTTGCGATTGCTAAGCATCTTCAATTCACCTCCACCACACTCCCACACACACAATGTCGTCAGGTATGCTCGCAGTTTGATCATGGCATGTATGCGACACAGAGTAGCTAATTGATGGCGTTCTAGCACCGCCAACCGCTGCCAACATGGGCTCAGACCTCAAGGACACCGCCGCGCCAGCCAAAGTTAAGCGTGAGTTTCTACCCAACTTCTTGGTACCTACTGTTCTAGTACTGACTCCTGAATAGCATGCTGCGTCTGCACAGACCAAAAGGCTAAACGCGACGAATGCATGCTCTTCTCGACATCGAACGACCCCCAGAAGGAGTGCTTCACCCTCGTCGACGACTACAAGAAGTGCATGGCTGGGTACGGCTTCAAGATATAGCGCAATGAGGGACAGAAATGTATACGACATGTACAACACGAGCATATGGGTGGCGTTGCGCACGATACGCGTTTTTAGATTCGATGTACAATACTATACATGAGGAACCAAAATCTTCCCTCCATGATCTACCTGGGTATCTTGAAGAAGTGCTGAAGTGCACCAACGAACATCCACCAATCTTTTACTGCGTCTTGCTCTTTTCTGCTCCAAACAACTCACTCTTGACAACAAGTCGCCACAAGCACCACAGGTAGCAAATACCAAAGCCACCCGTCCCAACAATCGCATTCGCGACAACCCAGAGGTCCGGTTTGTCAGCTGGGGGAGGGTAAAAGGCCTCCGCAACGTGCCATCCAATCATGGCCAGGTAGATGTTGAGATGGAGGATTTTGCTAAATATATTCAGTCCGCCCCGGCTGCCTTCGTGGTAGGCAGAGAAAGAAACTGGGGGGAGACCGAGAAGATAGGCCCACAAGAGGGATATAACAAAGTACGGAACTCGTAGCTCGTCTCTCTTGAGCAGCGGGAACATTGTCCAGACGCCCAGCATGTTCGCAAGACCGACCCACGTGCGAGTGGAGGGTAGTAGGCCATCCTTTCCGCTGAGGAGTAGCGTCATCGGCAAAAGCGGAA